CAAGTGGAAATTCCGTTTAGTCATTGCGTAATCACCTTATCTATAGCGGGGAATTCGCGTGTAAGAGTGGAGCCTGATAAGATACGGGCGTCACCCACACCACAGGATCTCTTCGTACTTTTTCACTCTCGGGGTGGTGACGTCAGCAGTACAGTTCAGTGACGCCATTCAAGGTTTGCTTCACGGAGGTTGCGGGTTATATCCTTCAGGAAGTAGCTCATCACAAAAACTCGGAAAGGTGCCACCAATTCTGCTTTGTTGACTCATTCTTTAGGGTACGAGACGCATCGCGTACAAGGCAAAGTAACCGGGGCTCAAGTTTGGAAGGTAAAACCCACAGAATGAAGCTCCAGGGGGGTTAGGGGGCCCACGCCAGCCAAGCGCCACCTGGGGGCGACCCGCATGGGCGCTCGAAGCTCCAACGCTCAGCCCTGAATAAGTGTGCCGCAGTACTGGGACCAGATCTAAACTTGGGCACTCAGATCCAAGTTTGAGCTTTGGTAATGTCGGTGTCGGTTGCTGAGGGTGGGCCTCGTCCCAGATGGCACCCGACTAAGACAGCGACGCGTTGTGAGGCAGCTACCGCTTCTTCTGCTCGTGGTCGTACCTAACTGTTGAGGATTGTGGCTTTCCCAGAACCTACCGATGTGAAGATCGGCCCTATGCCAGTTTTCAGAATGGGCTAGCATCTCAGCCTTTTGATGGGCATCTGGCACCTGATAAACCTCAGTGAGGGATTGCGATTTGCCCTGAAACCAGTACTTTCAGCGGTAAATCGTCCCCAAAGGGGTATATGACTTTGCTGGCATGGGTAAAATTCAAATGTGTGCATATGTGGTACAAAAAAAGCACAGAGAACACATTCCATTCTCGTTGAATGGGTGGAGCCAGACAATGTTATGTGTCGCATTGGCGCCCCCGCCCCAGTTTCTGGGGGTTGCGCCATCAAGGAAGACTCAGGGCTGGGCCTGGCTCCGCCCCCCACCCCGTACTGTGCCTTAAGCCTTTAAATGCAGTAATTAGTTCCATTTCAGTACGATGCCGAAGATGAGGTGTACTTCATCGACTGCAACGCCAAGCCTTCCCTTGACTTAACAATCGGCGGCAACAAATACACCATCACTTCTGCGAACCTCGTTATTCCATCCGGCGATGGCCGTTGCCTTTTGGCCATTTTCGGCATGAACACCTTCGGATTTGGTCCCGCGTGGATTCTCGGAGATCCTTTCATTCGCCAATACTGTAACATCTACGACGTTGGACAGCAACAAATTGGTTTTGCTAATTCACTTCAGCAATAATGCTTACGTTATTGTAGTTGTACCTATAGCAGATAATAAATGGAATATCAGCTTTATTAAATATCTGTAAAGAATGCGAAAGGATATATTGATTTATGGACGATTTTTTCACGAAAAGAATTTCACCAACGGTAAAAAAACTCATGAACATATCAAAAGCAATTACGAAGTGGTACCAGAAAATGCAGAGAGTACAGAAATTGAACAATGCTTGGCGACGCCTTTTAGAGGCGATTTCCGCGATTAAAGGATCCGCGAAATGCTTACATGTATTTCGCAGCTAGGTCTACACTAACGGAGATTTACCTCTTTCGCCACATGAACGTGCGAGAAGAAGCTATCAGAGACTTGAGGACATTTACCACCTCAACGTTTTTGGGCTACAAGACAACGCTCTGCGCCGCTAATTACAGCGCATGTTGCCTGCAGCGTCGTAGGACGATCTCCTGTATTCGCTTACAAGACGAACACTTGGTCCACAAGAGTGTTTAAAGAAGACTGTTCTAAATGGTTATCTAATATTGCTCAACAGAATCATAATCACAGTAGATCACTGGATCCCCTTCAAAGGGTAGGACAGCTTTGACTCAAAGTTGCATTCGTGGCGTATTCTAAGAGCAGGGACACATTCAGAGCAACTTTCGTATTTGTTTATCTCTTTCTCAGTTGTATATGGCTCTATTCGAATAGAGTGCAGAGGACGTAAAAGAATAATACTCACTGTCCTAACTCACGTGGACTTTGTTGTCTCATTGACCCCTGCCAGCTTCCAGAGAGCGTTCGACGCCTGACAGCTCTTTTTTCAACAAGAGTACATAGATAACAAGTAACAGTACATTGGTAATGTCACTTTCGGCGATCGACTGATGACACCGCTCAGGCTATTGAATGAGTCTTTTCGATGAGAAGAGCTGTGATATAGTTAGTCAGTTGATCAAAACAGAGCCATACGGGGCGAATACGACGGACTGAATCAAGGGTTCAAGGGTTCCCCGTCGGGATGCTGCTTAACGATGCGATCAGCCCGACACTGCCAT